CCGAGTCTCATGACCCCTGGTCTCCAAAGATACCCCAACTCTCCAAACCCCCTCCCCCACCCGGAGATTTCCTTAGCCCGGGTCCACTCAGCAAAGCCGTGGTCTCCCATTGCGGGACCCGGCTCAGGTGGGCTCAGGGAAGGGGAACCCCGACACCCACCTAGGTCCATGGCGGCGTCGCAGGCAGCAGCGCGGCCGCCCCTCCCCCGCACGGCGGCGAGTACTGCGCAAGCACCACGGCACAATGGGCGGTCCCAGGCGGGCGGGACAATTGGCCGCGCCTTAGTCTTCAGCCGCAGTCACAGCTCCGGCTCCGCGCGGTTCAGCAGCCGGCTTCCTCCGCTCCGCGCGCAGGCGCGGTCCTTACTTAAGAACCCGCGGCGTCGAGGCCGCCAAACCCACAGCGCCTCCTATCGGCCCTAGGTATGCAATCCGCCAACAGGCTAGTACCCGTTTCCCCTCTGGCCGCGCAGCGTGCTCCCCCGCTCAGGTCTCGACCTTGGCCCCTCTGCCCGGCCCTCTCCATTTCCGCTCAGCCATCCATCTCCAGTTTCCTGTCCAGCCTTGCTTCTGGACCCCAGTGGGTCCCTGACCCCCCATTCTGCGCCACCCAGTAACCCCACACTGAATGTCCATTGCCAGGCTGCCCACTAACCAGCACGGCCGCGCCCCTCTGTAATGACAAGACTTCCTCCCCCGAAGCGGGTCTCACACAGACCACTGGGCACCACAGCCTCTTAATCGCCCCCAGGCTCCGCCTTCAAACCGCAGCTGCAGCAGCTCCTTAATTTTCTGTTATCGCAGACACCTTTGAAAGGTTAATGGTTGTCCTCTCCAGAAAATGCGCTGCGTGAGCTAGAGCCAACCACTGTTGGGGGAGATCCAAATCAGTGGGCCCCAGTTTGCAATGTGTACTTTGTAAAAATATTTGATTTCTCACTGAGAACACACAAATATTTTGTGTTCTTCCCATATCACCCTGTCTCCTTTTCTCCCTTCCCCTTGTACCCAGACTTAATCACCAGTCTCGAGTGTTTTCTAACTCGCCACCCTCCAGCTTCTAGCGCCAGGTATCACTAGAAGAGACAGAAGGGCCCAGCCTCAGTTCCTGCAATGGGCCAAGTGGAATTTGAGCTGGCCTGCGCTGCTGTAAAGCAGTTGAAGGGACCTGTGAGTGATCAGGAGAAGCTGTTGGTGTATAGCTTCTACAAACAAGCCACCAAGGGCGACTGCAACATCCCTGCCCCGCCTGCCACAGATGTGAAAGCCAAGGCCAAGTGGGAGGCATGGAACAAGAAAAAAGGGATGTCCAAGATGGATGCCATGAGGGTATACATTGCAAAAGTGGAAGAACTGAAGAAAAAGGAAACTTGTTAAGGACAAAATGCCAAACAGGATGAAATACAATAGCACGGCTCCTCTGGTAGGGAAATGAAATGGGCTTCCTAAAAGACCTTGCTGGCTGAAATGTCTGGAAACTGTAGCGACCATAGCTGAGACATCAATAAATTAACTGCATGAAAGTGTGTGTCTGCTGTTGGAAAAGCAAACTCAAAGTGACTGAGAGTCCTGGGGAGCTGTATTTTTATACACTTGATAAATGTATAAAAAGCATCTCTCCTATAGGGAAAATTCCATCAAAACTGGCTTTCTGTATGATTCCATGTTCCCAGCCTTCCTGTTCTCAGATCATATGTAGCTATTTGGCTGAAGTAGAGAGGTGGGGAGAGAATCATGCTATGAAAATGCCCAAGGTTTGAGGTCAGTGAAGAGGCTGCACTTCTGGGGGAGGGGGAAGCAGTGCTGGGGGAGGCCCCTTATCTCCTCAGGGGCTGCCCATTCACTACTAACCCAACATTAGGGAGGGGGAAAGGGCTGTTTTCCAAAAAGCTCAAGTCAAGCCCTACTACCAAAAGCCCCTACTGGAACACAGGCCTGATGAAGTTTATGTTTTGAGGGAAATGATGCATCACAATGAGGTAATTGATGCATCACAATGTTAGGGAAACCCCTCCCCCCACCCCGCCCCTGGGGGTCTTGTTACTTTATGGTTCTTTTTGCCCACCACTGTGTTAGGAACCGTGGCTCTCAATGCCAGTTTGGTAAAAAAAAAAAAAAAAAAAAAAAAGAAAGGAAAGGAACTATTTATTCAAGTTATACAGGTTCAGAGTAATGGCAGAATGTCGCCGTTAAATCCTAAAGTCCCTTTAAAACACCACAAACACACACACAATCTTGAATCCCCTTTCCAAACCAGGCCAGTCAGGGGTACCATAGCTCAGGAAAAGAAATAGAAGTCCTAGCTTGGCTAGGCTCCTGTTCTTAATCCAAAGCCATATCCTCAAGGTGGTCAAGAGAGCCACCTCCCTCCCGCTCCCAAACAGTGTGGTAAAAACCCCAGAATGGCTGCTGTGCCTGGATTTAAATCCCTGCGCACACCTTCCTCCATAACCCCATTTCTGACTCTTCCCACACTGGTTTACCCCGGTCAGCAGTCTGCCTTCTGCCTTTCTCGGCTGCCGGTGGTTATGGGGTAGCTGCCTCCAAGCCGCTCTCACAGGCACGGGAAGCCCCTCTGGCTACATGGCATCAAGGGTTTGAGTGCTGCCCCTCACCCCCCCCCCCCAAGGGCAGGCACTGCTTTTTAATTTTACTAAAACACTGGCCAAGTCCTTCAGATATGCAAAGTAGCTACCAATGGCCCTGCTTTGCTTGTTTCGCTTGCCTCATCCCCCAAGCGATAGCAATGGGGAGGTTTTGAGATTTGGGGGGTACTTCAGCTCAGCACCCTGTTACAACACAGCAGCAGAGAAACACTGGAGCAGATGGTTTCAAAATCCCACCTCTGAAACACTCATCTAAGGCCTAGCAACCAAATTTTCTTGGGACTGATTTCTACCTGGGGGTGTTTGTGGGACAGTATGTACATGCACGTAAATGGGATTTTAGGAGCACAGCCAACCCTTACCCATGCAAAGGCGAGTGTCTGAGCTTGGCTTCTACCCCTTAGTACTGACTGTCATGCAGGTAGCAACTCTCAGCGCTGCACTTCGATAAGCAGTGCTCAATGACATTCGCAGAGACATTTCAAAGCAACAGGTCTGCAGTGGTAATAGAACTTCCCAATCCTTTCCTTCAATTAAAAACTATTTGCACAAATCATGACATAGGGTTATCTCCAGCTCATGGACCATTAAACAACAGAAGCAACAACCATAAAGACTTCAGAGGAAAGTCAAAGGAAACCAAACCTCATTGGGTATCTTTGAGATCTTCTGTTAACGTATTTGCAGGAAGTTGCTATAGACTAAGCATATTACTTAAGAATGAAGTACACCCAGGACACACAGTGACTGAAGATCTTTATTCCATGGAACAATAAACTGGGCAAGGGCCACACAGTACAAAAGTTGTATTGTTCTCTCTTCTTTGGAAGGTACACATTTTGATGCTTTTAAAACCACGACTTGCATTAAATGTGAATAGTAATATTAGCCCTGGCTGGTGTGGCTCTGGATTGAGTGCCAGCCTGCGAATCAAGGGTTGCTGGTTTGATTCCCGGTCAGGGCACAGCTGCAGACGGGGTCCCCAGTTGGAGTGCGTAGGAGAGGCAACCACACATTAATGTTTCTCTCTCCCTCTTCCTCCCTCTCTTCCCTTCTTTTTAAAATAAATAAAATCTTAAAAAAATTTTTAAATAGTAATAATAATGGAACATTCTGTAAATCACTGTAAAACCTGATAAAGTAAAAATGTACCATAATTAGGACTGCAGAAAGCAACTGTAAGATATATTATTTTTTAAAGCAAGGTATAATGTACATAGTGTGCTTATCTTTGTGCAGGAAAGAAATATGAATATATATATACATAATGCTTAAAAAGTTGGAGGCAGGGGAGTGGGAGGGGAGGAGCAAGGCTTTTCAGTGCGTACCTTTTACACTGTTTTGGTTCCTGAACCACTGACTCTATTAACTTGCAAAGAGGTCTGAGGCAAGGGCACTTCCTCATTGAACCTTGAAGCCAGAGTAAACTTCCTATAGAGTAAAGGTAATAAATCTTAGACCACACTGGACTCTCCCCCCTTACCTCATGGTGGTCTCCGGTTGGACAAGGTGGAGCCCTCCTGAAAACTCTGCCAAACCACAAGCGCGCTGTGTGGGGGAGGGGAGGTGGGCAGAAAGTCACGTAAAGGGAAACCGCATGTCCATGGCTTTGCTAATGCACTAGGATGTCAGGCAAAGGGGAATTTCGTATTAACTTTCTAGGCTGATCTAGAAAGTCTAGGGAGACCTCTTGCAGCACAGCTGTTCTAAACCTTTCTGGATTTATTCCCATGGTGTATTTGAACTTATCTGGGACTCCACACCTCTCAAGTGAAAAAACAAGATGACCACTCTGAAAACAACATAAATTGGAGAAACGGAAGAACTCTCCAACTTCATCTGTTTAAAAATACCAGCTTGGGCAAAACCATGTTTCTCATACCTTTGTTTTCTGGTTGATAATACCATCTCCAGGGGTGGGAAGGTAATCATAACCTTTGGTTTAAAATTACTAGCTGCAGTGTGCAGAGGAAAATGTTTAGATTTCTTGATAGAAGGCCAAAGTCGGACACTAAAGGGTTTTAGGATGAATAAAATATTAAAGATTACAACACAGGAAAAGATGACTGGCAATGAGGTAAATAAAAGGGGGCTGATATCATAAAGCCAAAATGTCCCAGGGAGATAAACAGCACTAACTTCCAGCAGGCATAACCGTACATTTACGAGAAAATATTCGGGTATGTCAAAATACAAGATAAGCAGATAAAGAGGGATCCAGTGTGTGTTTAGTCATTCAGTACTTGCAGAAACCACTCATTTTACTGTAACAAACTTAGAGGGCCACATCACAGCAGCCTAATACATTGGGGAAGTAGTTTTTTTCCCACAAGAACAGTATTACTAGAGACAAACATCAAGAATTACTTTACCTAATAAAAACCTGAGACTAAATCATCGTCTAAAGAGACACAAGTTTATTTGATTATTCAAAATCCATACAATAATTTCCCCATGTACAGGGAAGAAAAGTGAGCCACCTGCCTAGAGCAAGAACATGTATAACTCGGTTTGCTTTTAAACCCATGATTGCTTCCTTAAGATAGAGAATTTAAGTTGAATTAAAAGTCCTGTGAAGCAAGAAATGGATTTTTTTCTCTCAGTGAAAGATAAAATCACCCTATAGGCAGGTAAGCTGAAATTTCCATACCCAACCTTGCCAGCAAGGGAGAAGAGCAGAGGCTACGATTTACAAGTAATTTGATATACGTTATTCTGGGACTGGTGTCCTCTGGGTCAAACCCTTCCAATCTCATCAATTTCTTTCCTGAAATTTGAACCTGCCCACCACTTTAGATAATGACTCTACAGGTTAGTATTAACAGCTTGATTTCAGAAGTATATCTTCAAAAAACATTTAATAATAAATATGCCCAATATAATTATGTTTCCAGTGATTAAAATTTATCTGTTCTTTAGAACCAAACAGAAGATTACAGGAAAACATTAAAACAATTTTTTTAGGCTAAATAAATCACCCGATCCATTTTTAAGAAATTTACCATGATTTCTTCTTAGGAATATTTTTAAAAATCATGTAAGGAGACCAGCGCAGAGCCAGGCATGCAGTGACACAGCACAGTAGACCTTTCTATCTTCTCTGGCTACTCAAAAGTTTTAAAGCAAGGAATGTGGGGGTGTTAAGCAAATCTTGTGGTTCAAGGAACAAAACGTTTAAAACATGTTTGAATGCCAAGGCCTGCCGGGGTGAGACACTGGAACAACACACTATCATCGGATGCTGAAGTACTCCTTTACAAGCAACTGGCTTAGATTTATTTGAGCAGGTGTTCTCATAAAATGCACATGCTTATCAAATTCCTTTCATCCCAACCAAAGGTAATATCCCATGTAGCTGCCCCAGGCTGGAAAATAATTTATTACTAATCTAATACAGTTACACACAGATTGTGCCACTCCAGTGGCGGTGCAGGTTATGGCAGGAGTTCTCCTCTAACTGGATTAACAATAAAAGGATTTTATACCTAAAACACATCAGACCCTTCAAAGATTAACACACATATCTTCCCCACCCCAGCTTCCTTGCCTATACAGGGAACAACCCAGCGGGGAGAGTATTTATCAGGAATGGACACATCAGAGCCCCAGGTGCTGGGAAGGAATCACGAACGCTTCTTCCGAGGATGTCTTCTGTCAGCCGGAAGCCTTCGGTTTATTTTGTTTAGCAAACCATTCATCGCTTTTATCTGCTGCCATTGCCTACAGAAACAGAATTGGGATATATATTCTAAGTCCATAAAATAAAACATATAGTTCACTTTGTACTTCATTGCATCATTCATAATTAAGAAATGAACCAATGAAATGTGTTCATTCAGTGTGGAGCACTGTGTTTCCTTTGACAGGGGATGCTGGTGAGCACTGAGCAACTGCTTGTGGAGCAAAGGGCCTGCAGCCAGGGAGTGAGGCTGGCTGACCGGAGAGCAAGGACGGAGCCCACCAGGCTGCCGGGTCCTCGGCAGAGCAGAAAGTGCTGTCACTCCTAGCACCTGGGCAGGCTCTCAGGAATCGGGAGTGCTCCTGAGACTCAGCCTAATGATGACGCCAAAGGTGAAAAGCTATTCTGACATTTTAGCTGTTGAGCCTGGAACGACTTCCTTCTTCTGTGCTTCTTCCCACGCCATTCCACTGATGTTGGTACTGTTTGGTTCATTGTGGGTCAGTTAATTAAAAAGGAAGACTTGTTAGTAACAATATATGTTTTGGGTCCACCAGAGACCTTTTATCCTATTGTTCTGTGAGGCTGAGACCATGGAGTGGGGCTTGTGAAAGCTTAGCATCTAAGTCTCTTAAAACTTCCTGTCCAATACAACCAACCAAGCATATGCTAAATGGCTGTTTCATAAGGAAAATACATGCATTTATTCAGTCAAAAAGCAAGTACAGAAATACCTTTAAAAATGCCAGTTTTCATTATGAGCTATGTGGGTATTAACTGGGGTTTGGGTGTGGCAATAGAGATGTAGGCTGAGGCTTTGAAGAGCATATAGAATAGCTGAGGACTCCGATATGAAAACAACTATTTTGCATTAAAGGCACATGGGAGGGGGGAACATTTGCTACAATGGAATGATAAAATGATAGCCTGAAAGAAAAGGAGTAACTAACTGGTTGGAGAAATAGCATAACATTAATGTAAAATCTACCTCAGCAAGAAGTTATAGGATATTGCCTGCAAGTGAAAATGAAGAAACAGAAATACATGTATTTTTTATTTTGAAACAGTGATGGTGAAAATGGCTGCACTGGGCAGTGGGACTCACTGGGGGGGTGAGATATGGTGGCACTGCATTGACATAAAATCTCAGCGTTACTGGATTTTGATGAAGATAAAAAGTATTTTGAAAGCAAAGATATGCGGGAAAAAATCCCACAAACATGCAGAAATTTCTGAATTTTAAAAAGGGGGGAAACAACAAACTTTGGTATGGAGAATCCAAGAAAACTCCCAAGTTTTGAAGGGTAAGTTGGGGAAAAGGAAAACCCGCAGGTGGAGGCAAGATGATAAATCTTGGTTAAAAGAAACAGCTCGCTGGGGCTGGAACGGCACGCAGAAGACCAGAGAGCCCCGTGGGGCCCCGTCAGAGCGTTTGGAATGTACCTTCGAGGCAGCAGGGTGCGGTCAGAAGATGAAACAGGTTTTTTAAATTACTGCACTCGTGCTTTGGAAAGCTCCTGCTGGCAGCAGGGACCGACTGGATGGTGGAAGGCTGCTTCTGCAGTTTTTTGGGTGATGATAAGGGCGTTTTCAGAAGGAAGTAGACAAACGAGATTTCAGAGGTAAAACTCACACTCTTGGTGACCAATAGCTGATAGAATTTTGGGGTGAGGAGAAACAGTATTCAAACATGGCTCTGTTTGTATATCTAAAACTATTCTAAAGTGCAGAGTATATTAAATGTAAAAAAACTGGCCCTGAGGATTTCCCCTTAAGTAATGGGGATAAATGACACACAGCACAGTTCAGGGGAGGGAGCAGGGCGGGAACAGAGCAGGGACATGGACTGGCTGTACAGCCTGAGAGATCCAGCCAGGCCTGTGCCCCAACGCTTACTGAATGGACAATACTGGGGGACAACATTCCTGAGCCTCAGTTTCCTCATCTGAAAGGGAACTATCACTGCTGCAGACTCTGGAAAGAATACAGAATAGACATAAAGTGCTTAAGAATATGGCACATGTCAAGAACATAGGAGATACTTAATAAACAGTAGCTTTTATTTTTATATAATTAAGAATGGATTTGAGGGGAGATAAATTCAGTTACAGACATATTGAGTTTGAAATATCCATGGTGAAGAGGTTTCAGTGGCTATATAAATTTGGTCTGGACACAGAAAGCAGTAAACATCAAAGAAAAAGTTTACAAACAACTTAAAAAATTTCCTGCTCTTCAAAACACTCTATTAAGAAAATAAATAGGCAAGACATAAGCAGAAAAAAGGACTTGCAATTGATGTCAAATGACTCATATCTAAAACTCCAACAAATAGACAAAGATAATAAAAAAAAATTAAACCGATTTGGACTGGGTTTTATTTTTAAGTAAATAGATTTGATTAGGCTTTTTTCTGTTATATATATATTTTTTTAATTCATTAATTTATTTTTAGAGAGAGGAGGAAAAGAGAAAGAGAGGGAGAGAAACATCAATGTGTGGTTGCCTCTCACTTGCCCTCACTGGGGACCTGGCCGGCAACCCAGGCATGTGTCCTGACTGGGAATCGAACCAGCAACCCTTTGGTTCACAGGCCCGTGCTCAATCCACTGAGCTACACCAGCCAGGGCTGACTGGGCCTTATTTTTAAGCAAATATTCAAATAACAGAACGGACACTTTAGGAAAATGATGTGGGCAAAGACATATTCAGAGATTAGAGCACAGACAAGAATGGCTAAACTGAAAATAGATCAGAGGTGTGTCTTCCAGTTTGTTGTGAAACTCAATGGATCATATAAACTGTTCTGCATTTATATACTACAATTACATTAAAGCTAATTTAAAAACACATAGGGCAAAGTAACTGTATAAAGCTACTTTTAGTGGATCAGGGAAATTTTAATAAGAATTGGATTTGAGGTAACATTAAAGATATACTGTTGATTTTTTAAGTGTGATGATGTCAGTATGGTATATAAGGAAATTCTGTGGATTGAGTGCCGGCCTGTGAACCAAGGGGTCACCGGTTCAGTTCTCAGTCAGGGCCCATGCCTAGGGTGTGGGCCAGGTCCCTGGTGTGGAGTGAGTGAGAGGCAACCACACACTGATGTTTCTCTCCCTCTCTTTCTCCCTCCCTTCCCCTCTCTCTCTCCCTCCCTTCCCCTCTCTCTAAAAATAAGTAAATAAAATCTTCAAAAAAAATAAGAAAGTTCCTTAATGTTTACTTCTTTTAAATTGTCTTAAAAATGTATAAATTATTTAAGTCCTTAGGGATGAAATGTCACAGTGTCTGAGACTTGCCTTAGCATTCTCCAGCAAAAAAAGGTGGGCTGGGGAATGGTGAGAAGATTATGGGACAGAGCTGGTGGGTGACGGTCAGAGAGGGATCTGTTGTACTCTCTTGTGTATATTTGGAATTTTAATCGTGAAGTAGTGAGAATAAATTGATTATGCAAAGAAGTGTACAAAAAACCCCCACATAATTCACAAAAGAAGACAAGCAAATGGTCAATGAACATATGGAAAGGTGCTCAACATCGTTAGTCATCAGGAAAATGCAAATTAAAATCACAATGAGAGCCCTGGCTGGTGTGGCTCAGTGGACTGAGCACCGACCTGCGAACCCAAAGGTCACTGGCAAGATTCCCAGTCAGGGCACATTCCTGGGATGCGGGCCAGGTCCCCAGATGGGGGCATGCGAGAGGCAACTGATTGACGTGTCTCTCGAACATAGATGTTTCTTTCCCTCTCTCCCTTCCTTCCCTTCTCTCTAAAAATAAATAATAAAATCCTTTTAAGAAATCACAACGAGAAACCGTTTTACGCATGCTAGTATAGCTACAACAACAAAAAATATAAATGTCGGTGAGGACGTATAGCAGCTGGAAGCCTGACTGTGTACGAGTGGCTGGCAGGTGGCAGAAGGTCCAATCACTGGGGTGACTGCTTGGCAGTGTCTCACAAAGTAAAAGCAATTCCATTCCCACGTATTTATCCAAGAGAAACAAAACATATGTCTGTCTACGAGAAGATTTATACAACATTGTTCATAGCAGTCTTCCTTACAATAAATGAAAATCTGAAACAACTCAAATATCCATTGGAAGAATGGATAAAAAAATTGTTATATTCACAAAACTGAATACCACTCAGTCATAAAAAAAGAATGAACTCCATGCAATTACATGGAGGAATCTCAAAAACGTTGAGTGAGAAAAGCCAGGCACAAAAGAATACCTACTGAATGATTCCACTACATGAAGTCCAAGGACAGACAAAGCCTCTGGTAGGTGGGGCTGGGCACTAACCGGAAATGAGCATAAAAGAACTTTCTGCAGTGATGAAAATACGCTATATTTTGAGTAATAGTAGTATGGATGTATGCGACTGTCAAAACTCATCAAATTGAGCAGTAAATTTCTATACATTTAAATTCTATGTGTATTTTTACCTCAGTAACAACAACAACAACAAAATAGTTGTTTAGAGCTCAAGAAGGAGTAGGAACTAGAAACTAGGAAACCAGAGAAATGATGATGGCTGAAGAGCAGAAGTAACTGGAGGAGGGGTAACGTCTGCTCAGAGAAGAGAATGTAACGGAATGAGGATTGCACACAGCCAGAGTGGGACCCGGCACAGGCAGTGCCCGTGACCACGGAGGGGCTGTCAGAGAGACGTGCGGACAGCAGGGTCTCTACAGCCAAAGGAGAACAGAGCTCAGAAGAGGAGGGACCTGACAGTGATATGAGAGCAAGCACAGAATTTAGCAAAATTGCCAACTGAGAGGTTGCCTAAGATTCTATTTTTCTTTAAGGTAAAATGTAAAAATGCTCTTTATTCTACACATTTTCTACTTTAATTAACATTAATTGAGTGTCTGTTATCATGTCAGCAGGTGGTCTGGCAGGCTCTATAAACCACACAACAATCCTCTCAGGTGGATAGTCTTATTTTTTCAAATTTCTAGATAAGAAAACTTAAGTTTAGAGACTTTATTTAAGTAGATTGCTTGAGGCCCGCCACATAGATATGAAGTGACAGAATCGGAAAGGCTGATTCATCCCTTCAGTGGTCAGCCGAGTGTTCACTGAGCGCCTGCTGCGCAGCAGGTATGCGTCAGATGCTCCGGCAGCCGTGAACGACGGCTTGGATACCGCTGAAAAATTGAGCAGGAAGAAGATAGAAAAGTAGTTGCTGGATTTTGGCAAAATGGAAATCACTGATGCGATAAAAATGCACATTTCCCTCAGTGACAGGAGCCAGTGTAGTACAGGCTGAAATGTGAATGGGAGGTAAGGATTAGAAGCAGTGCACAGGCAGAGTTTTAAAAAAAGAAATCTGGAGAAGTCATATGCGGTAAATGAAAGATTTTTCAAAGACGGAAGACACTGGAGCTTGAGAACAATTCAGTAGGAAGGAGGAGGATGATGGTGCAGAAGGAGAAGAGGTGACCAAAACACCCAGGAATAGAAAGCGGGCGGTACCGCGTACCTCCATTCAAAGAGCAGGACAGTCATCATACGGCAGCAGGGGTCCCCAAGGCAGCCTGCGCGGTGGGAGGGCACAGACGCTGCACCCAGGGTAGAGTGGTATAGGTGGCAGTAAAGATATGAGTCCCTGACTCAGAACTCATCCCAAAAGCACAAGGGCGTGGTTCCGACAGTGAGAACTGGCCCCTGCTGCTTCGGCCTGTCCCACACACACTTGACGGCACCTTCCTAGGACCCACGGTCGTACAAATTCAGAAATGAGACTCACGTCATCCAACAATTTGCTTCCCTTTGGGTCCATCTTAGAAAGTTCTCGAAATGCTTCATCCCCCACAAAGCAAATTTCATGTCCATCCTACACCAAAAAAGACAAAAGAAATCTGGCAAAAAGACACCTCAAAGAAAGCCCTGGTGCAGCCTGTCCCCTTCCTGAGCAATACTTACAGGGTCGGCCAGAATGACCACTTGTACTGTTGCTTTCCCTGGGGTATCCAGGCTTACCAGGGGAGTCAGAATCTTCTGCTTCTCCCTTTTCATCAGGCCTTCCAAATCAGGCAACTTGGGGAAAACGAGAAGGAAAAGTGAGCTGGGCCACGTACCCTCATAGGCCACGGTCCTCGTCAGCCCTAGAGGAAACATCCACTCAACCAGAAAGAAACTGGGAGCCACTTGTTCGATTTTTTTAATCTCAGCCTCTCAAGACAACTGTTGAACTTGAAAACAAAGCCATGATCAGAATAAACCTAAAGAAAGGGAGGCCCAAGGTACTTAGCAGTTGAACTAGCTGGTCACAGAGCTTTAAACAAAAGACTTGGTACCCAACATTACCTCTTTCTGGGGGCAAGAAAAGGCAATTCTTCCAAAAGCTGCTGCATGATCAACTGCACCGTTGATGCCCTGTAGCTCCAGCTTACACTGAAAAATAAGAAAGTGGGTTTGGTTTATTTGTTAGAATAGGTTATGTGGTTTAAAAAAAAACTCAAAAGAGTACTAAAGGAATAAAGTAAAAACTAAGTCTCCCTCCTACTCTCACTCCAGAGCCACAGTTTCCTGTGTCCACTTGTAGACATGGGACATGCACATATCTTTTCTCTTTATACTAATATTAGCATCATTTACACATTATTCTGTGCCTTGTTTTTCTCTAATATTACCATATCAGTACATAGATTTACCTCATTCTTTTCAATAGCTGCCCAGTAATCAATTCTATGCTTAAACCATAGATTATTGAACTATTCTGCTAATCCATAGGAAATTAGATTATTTCTTTCTTTTTTAAACATTTTGTTTATTTACTTTTAGAGAGAGGGGAAGGGAGGGAGAAAGAGAGGGAGAGAACCATCAATGTGTAAGAGATATACATTGTCTCTCGCACGGCCCCAACCAGGGACCTGGCCTGCAATCCAGGCATGTGCCCTGACTGGGAATCGAACCTGTGACCTTTTGGTTCACAGGCCAGCGCTCAATCCACTGAGCCACACCAGCCAGGACTAAATTATTTCTTATATTTTGCTATTTCAAACAATGCTACAACCGATAACTGTATACAGTTCTTTGTGAACACGCATGTTGGGTATGTAAAATAAACTCCCAGGAATAGACCTGCTGGGTCAAAGTGCAAAGACTAGATCATGCTCAAGTGCTGAGCTTTTTTTTTTTTTAAAGATTTTATTTACTTTTAGACAGAGGAGAGGGGAAGGAGAAAGAGAGGAAGAGAAACATCAATGCATGTTTGCCTCTCACGTACCCCCTACTGGGGACCTGGCCCACAACCCAGGCATGTGCCCTGACTGGGAACTGAACCAGCAACCCTTTGGTTTGCAGGCTGGCACTCAATCCACTGAGCCATGCCAGCCAGGGTGAATGTTGGGTTATTTTTTAAAAGAAGAAGATAAATACATTATCATTAAAATATTAAGTCCTGTTTACATCTCTTGTGACTCAGCAATTCCACCTCTGAAAGGACAGATCCCCAAATACCTATGTGGTGAGGTTATCAGCAATTTTCATTTTCTTCATTCTGTTTATCTACATAAACATTAAATCACTGTGAAGAAATTAAGGACATAACCTTCATGTTAACCTCATTTATAAGCCAAACTCAAAGTAACAGATTATTTCTCTCCAAGGTCACTCACCTGGTTATCACCATAGCCCAGCAAAGCCCTTTGCTTCTCTTCCTCCTTCTCATAAATTTTCATTCCCAGTAGATTAGACCAGTAGTTCAAGGACTTCTGAAGATCAGACACTGCTAGAGTTACTTTCAACACAGGGTCTGTAGGAGAATAAAACAGCAGGAATGAGAGATCAGTGCAATGGAGTAGAACAGAAAGACCAGAACAGGCTCAAGAATTTAGTTTATGATAAGAAAGGGATTTTAAGTCAGTACAAAAGGGCACATTACTATTCAATAACTGGCTTCTCACTTAGTGGGAAAAAGCCACACCTTTAAACTAAATGGCAAAAAGCATTCCTGATGTGTTAAAGGACGAAGTTTAAAGCATGAGACCATAAAAATACTAGAAACAGGTTACTGTTTATACAATTTTGGGGTGGAGAAACCCTTTATTAAACCTGACACAAGAAACAAAACCATGGAGGAATTATTGCTAGGATACTAAACAAAATGGAAACCTCCTAAACAACAAATTACAATCAAAATGAAAGCCCCGGCCAGGCAGCTCAGTTGATTAGAGTGGCGTTCCAATATGCCAAGGTTTCAGGTTCAATTCCCTCGTAAAGGCACGTAAAAGAATCAACCAATGAGTGCATCAGTAAGTGGAACGACAAATCGATGTTTCTCTCCCTCCCTTCCCCTGTCTCTCTGAAATCAATAAATTAAAAAAAAATTAAAGACTGAACAATGAAGAAACATTTTTTGCAATATACATGTCACAAAGTCCTTATTAGATAAATCACCTTTAAACAATAGGAAAAATTAATATCCTAGAAAAATAGGCAAAAGACACAATTGGAATGGTCAGTGAACATATGAACAATATTCACCTTCACAAATAAAGAAATTAGAACTCAAATAAAATATTTTGTTATCTAGCTGGCAAATAATTTTCAAAGTCTGCAGCACTGACTGTTGTGTGCAAGGGGAAACTCACAGTCGTATCACTCTGGCAGAGTGCGAACTAGTTCGTTTCTGGGGGACAATCTGACAGAATATTTCCAAAGCCTAAAAACTTCACCCTGCTTTTCACAGAGAGCCCCCTCGGGCAGCAATTACAGAAGCGGCTGTGGCCGCATGCAGGACTTTCATCACAAAGGCATTCAGCAGAGTGCTGCTCAGAACAGCGAAGAGCTAGGGACGACATAAACATCCAACAACAGAGAACTGTCTATCTTCCTATGGTGCAGTACACTGGAATCCTTACAAAGGGACAGGAATAAACATACACATATACTCAGTATTACGTTTAGGTTTTGATAAAAGATTGGACAGCTATATGCGAAAATGTTAACAGTGGTTATATCTGTATATATGGAAAGTGAAGTGTTTTTGCTTATCTATTTGTGAAAAAATCTTTTTTTTTGGTAAAAAGAATATCTTATAATAAAACACTTTTACTGGAAACTTTGATACTATAAAGTGAGTTTCTGAAGGGCTATTCCAAGTCTGTGTCTATGACAAATCCAATACACTTCCTTCCATTTTCACTTCCTCGGTCCCATTTGCTAGAATATCAGTATCATGACCTCAGGCACGGCATTTAAGACTGTTTTAGTTTTCCCATTTGTTGAGAAATCGACAAATTCCAGCTGCCTCCAAAGGGATGCAAGGGCAGGAAAAGTACCAGGTGGGTGAAACTACAGGTAAGTGAGTGATTCAAAGGAAGGGTGGACACCAGCTCGACTGACAGATCTGGCTATGTTATCAATTGGAAAGTAATGCCCTAAAGACACTATCGTTCCAAAGGACAAGATCATCTTAGGATCGTGGGGCTTGCTATTATTTTACAAATTGAAACACCATGATTAGAGAGAAAGTGTACAGTGGAATGAGTGATAGGAGTTAAGTTTTAAAGTTAATATATAAAGTGACAATCACTTATCAGTCCAAAATCATCATATAAACCCCTTTAACGACTAACAAGTACAGAAATACTAACTCCCCGTAAGTCCCACAGTACCATCCTAACCTCCCACCCTGGAATGCACCACTTTCTTTTGCTGAGCTCCAGGGGAAACGTATTCAACACAACTATCAGACTGACGTGGGTACTCTGGGACTTGTGGCAGACCAGAGGAGGAAAGAGGAGGATGTCTCCCATCTCAGGTCCATGTATTCGCTGAGTGAAATGGCAAGCAGAATTGCCCTTGCTATTCACAATGAGGATGCCTCTGCCGTACGTGAAACACACCACGCAGGTTCTCTCCCGCTCCATGTGCAGTCAGTGCGGTGCGCCGCTCCTCCCTTCCGCTCCTACCTTCCTCACCAAGCACCAGGGCTCCAGTTTGGGAAACTGACGTCCACTGGAGAATACGATGAACTGGTCTAAGGATAATCCCATTTCTCTTGCCAGTGATTGGTTCACACTCGGACACAAGAGTCAAATCTGACGAGGAAGTTTGCTGAAAAACTAGTAGAAAAGTTTTGCTCTGCTCTTTAAAAAGAGCAAGAGGAAGCTGGTCTCTCTCTGCCCTACCAGGAGAGAATGTGGGAGCATGCAGCCCCAAGTGCTGCTGGCAGCCGCCTACGACAACCTCAATAAGGGGCATCGGCTCTGGGAGGAGCGGACCCCTGTGGATAAGAGAATGGAGAGAGACAGCAAATTTCAGTTCCTGATGCCATTTGTGAGCTGCTGAATCAACTAATGTTGAAATCTTTCCTACTTATAGAATGTCTGTTTTGTGAGCTAAAACATTTACTTATTGTTCAAGCTAGTTTGAATTGGGTTTTGTTATTCACAGCTGAAAGTATCGTAAGTAGCTACATTACCAGTAGAATAAAACCAGTTTAGATCCCCTATAATTATAGAGATCCCATAAAAGAACATAACGTCTCAGAGAACAAATAACCACACTGGCTCGGGGGAGGCATGTCCCGTCAGTACAGAAAGACCCCACAGGAGAAAGAAGTCCGGCTCCCTCTCTCTGTCCATCGAAGGTGCCTTTAGACAGAGGGCTTTCATTACCAGTCTGATTACCTGACTGAGGTGGACTTCGATTCTGCAGATAGAACTTATATCCTCCTGGGGCCTCAGTTTCAAAAACTCCTTCTGCAACTTCCCTGAGTGGCCACTCCAGCTTCCTGGCATTGCTGATGGCCTGGCTGGAAGCCAGTGTGACACCCTACGACAAACAGCAATATCATTCACAACGGATCTTGTACAGCATAAGATAATGAGACAAAACCCCAAAACCTTTACATCATGGACAAAGAGGATAGATACAAGTTCAGTGACCCCCAGCATGATCTGATTGTATAACTGGCGAGTCATGCCCCGGGCCTATAATGTCCTTAGTGAAAGTGTGAAAGCCAGCCACCACTGTTTTGTGCTCCTAGGTTAATACCTTTGAAATGCCAGAAGCAATCCTCTTTTCTAGACCCCTCTGAGGTGTAACCGCCCTCAAGACAGCACGTAATCTTGTTAGTTGTTAATCTTCCTTACATTCTTCCTTAGTTCCAAATGTATAACAGAAACTGCAAAACTCATCCTTCAGAGCTCCTGAGATCTTGATTCCTGGCAATGTAGTCAGTATGGCTCAAATAAACTCACGAACATTCTCTGCAGGTTGGGGCTTTTTTTAGGTCGACAATGACAAATCACCTAAGAATTAATTGGCATTCTAAATTTCCTTTTAGTAATTTTAAAGTAGGTTTTGGGCACTTTTCTCCTAAGTTTGGACGAGATTCCAAATTTCATGAATTGCAGGGCAGAAATTCAAATGCTACTGAATTGAAACCAGAGGTAATCTCTCCTAATTTGAAAGATCTAATGAGGGAAAGTTCTTTTTTGCTTTTTAAACAAAAAATTTATACCAACAATCAAGGCATCTTTTAATTTAAATGTAATCAAAATACCTAAAAATGCATCCTTCTGCCTTCTGACAAGGCCAGCCTCGTTTCCAGCTCTGGACTGCGGCAGCAGCCTCTCTCCCCGCCTGCCATTCTGTTGGTCCCCAGGCCGCTCTGCAGTGGGCGGACTTTCTGAAACACTCCCTGCAGTCCACTCTCAGAGAGCAGACCCCACCCTGCTTTCCCTCTGCCTAAAATCCTTGCTGGCTTCTCATTTCTCTCAGGGATGGCTCCTAACGGCCCGAAAGGCCCAACACAATCTGACCCCAGGTCACTTCTGACCCCGTCTCCTCCCATTCCCACTCCCCACCCCATTCCAGCCAGACTGGCCTCCCTGCATTTTCCTGAACATGCCGGGTGCTGTTTGGTGGCTCTGCACAGGCTGTTTCTCTACCACACGTGCCCTTCCCCTGGATACCAGCATGGCCAACTCCCTCATCTCCTTGAGCCTTTGATCGAATGTCAGTTCTTCACTGACACCTTCCTTCAACACATTCCTTAAAATTAAAACCAGTCATCTGCCCTATACTCCCAAGTCTCCTTACTCTGCTCTGTTCTTTCCCCACAACAATAATCACTTTTAAAATAACCTATTAGCCCTGGCTGGTGTGGCTCAGTGGATTGAGTGCTGGCCTGCAAAGCAAGGGGTCACTGGTTCAATTCTGAGTCAGGGCACATGGCTGGGTTGTAGGCCAGGTCCCTAATGCAGCGGGACGGTGGGGTAGAGGGGGGAGGCATGAGAGGCAACTGAATATTGATGTTTCTCTCCCTCTTTCTCCCTTCCTTCCCCTCTCTAAAATAAATAAATAAAATATTTTAAAAAATGAAATTTAAAAAAATAATAAAATAAAATTACATATTATATAATTTATTTATTTAGTCTATTTATTAGTTTTTGTCTGTCAGGCCCTTGACTCCCTCCCCTGCCAAGCCCAGATTTTTGTGTTTTGTTCACTGGTTATCCAAAGTTCCTTGAGCAGTGCCTGGCACATAGCAGGCACTCAATAAATATTACATGAATAAATACTATAATAAGTAAATTAATACACAGGTCAAGCCCCGGCTGGTGTGGCTCAGTGGACTGAGCACCGGCCTGTAAACCAAAAGTTCACTGGTTTGATTCCCAGTCAGGGCACATGCCTGGGTTGCGGGCCAGGTCCCCAGGTGGGGGTGTGTGAGAGCCAACTGATCTATGTTTTTCTCACTCGTGGATGTTTCCCTCCCTCCCTACCCCTCTCTCTAAAAATAAATAAATAAAATCTTTAAAAAACACATAGGTCATTTTACATATTTGCTAACATAGTATATGTAATGTAAACTAAATTCCTAGATGTGAAGCTATAAAGTCAAAGAATGAATGCATCAATTATTTGGGTATTGCCCAACTGAGGGTGTACCGATCTACACCTTTATTAGCAGTGTGTAAGAGAAGCAGTCTCTAACACCCTTCCTACCTCGGTGTGTAATCACACTGTATTTTTGCCCATCTGACAGGTGACCAATGGGAGCATGGAAGTTGAACATCTTATCAATGTTTAAGAGACATTTCTAATTTCTTTTCTGTGAACTACTTGTTCACAGTTTTTGCCCTTTAAAAAAACTATTATGTTGCCCTGGCTGGTGTGGCTCAGTGACTGAGTGCTGGCCTGCAAATCAAATGGGTGCTGGTTGGATTCCCAGTCAACACATGCCTGGATTGTGGGCCGGGTCCCCAGTGCGGGGCATGCAAGAGGCAACCACACATTGATGTTTCCCTCCCTCTTTCTCCTTCCCTTCCCCTCTCTAAAGGTGAATAAATATAATCTTTAAAAAAAGTAAAAAAAAAACCCAAAACCCTATTATGTTGTTGATCCTTTTCGTTTTAATGTACAGGAGTATCTTTACATACATGGGAATTCTAATTAACCTGTTTTTTTTTTTTTGTTCCATGAACTGGGAAGCCTAGACGGTGCCCTTCATTGGGGCTATTTTAGTACCAGTCTAAGGGAGACCGTGGGGGAGCCGTCAAGCTGTTCCCTACCCACATGACCCAAGCACTTGCAGTCCCACCAATCACCATGTGACTTGAGCCAGTTAAATATGATGGCACCAAGATGGGTTTGCTCTTTTTTCTCTCCCTGATTTAAACCTGGAGAGTAAAGAGATGAGGAGAAACACAAAGGAACTCTCGCATACACTCCATCACCAAACCCTATCAACTCTACTTCCTAAACATCTCTCAAATCCCTCCACTCCTCTCCAGCTCCCACTACCACGTTAGTTAAGGAGCTGCTGGTTACTTACTGTATTCTATGACCTAGTTTCCATACTTTAGTCTTGCTCCCTTCCAACCCAATTTCCATGCCCTAGCCAGGTAGATTCTTGCACATCACAAATATTATGGCACTCCCCTGCTTAAAAATGGCTTCACTCTGCTTTCAGAATAAAGTCCAAAAATCATCTTACTATGATGTGGCCCAGCTTACTTCTTCAGCCCCAACTCAACCCACTCCCTTCCTCACACACTAAGCTCCTGTCAGACTGTACTACTCATAGTTTTGAGTGATACGGTTCCTCTCACCTCCACATCAGTGTGCATGCTCTGGACACGCATCTCCCCCCCATCCCGGCTCTGCTCACCAGCCCAGATGTCGCCTCTGGGAAGCTTTTCCTGAACCCTCTGGGAAGCTTTTCCTGAACCCTCACCTCTCCAGGGACAGGCTGGGAATTATCCCATGTGTCCCTACTTCCCCCTGTTCTTATCCCAATCTCAGCACTTATCACACTGCATTCTTGTTGTCTCTTTCCTGGTTTCCCCAACCAGACAGGAAGCTCCTCGGGCCAGGGAATGTGTTTTACTCTCTAGTGTACCACCAGGACCTAACGAGGTACATAGCATACTGTAAGTCACAGTAAATTATCTGTTAAATGAATACATTAGTGAGAGGCATGAAGGGAGAAAAAGAGAAAAACAAACATATTAATATATTGAATCTGAGCAGTCCTTTCCATTTACAAAACACTCTGTAGACTTTTGATTCTCATAAAAACTTCCATCTAGATATCATTATTTTAATATGCATTAAATAGTGGATATTTAATGTGAGTTAAATAGGAATAGTGAGATCAAATGACCACAATAACATCTAGCAAAAGGCAGATTTGCTCAGTAAATTCTGAGTAAAAATTAGTCATCCCTCTCTTGCTACATATGTGGTCCCAGTGGCATTCTAAACAGGCACATAGTGACTGCTTAATGAATGGCTGATACTATTCCTATAACAGGTGCACCATAACTGGAATTCTTAAATGCGTTCTCCTCTTTACCCTAAAAACCCTCTCAGATTCTTCTCCGGCTAGGATTGGCTGTGACGGCCCAGACCAATCATAACGTCCACTCCAGAGAAAACACTTCTCTGGAAGGTGATCAGGACCTGACCAAACTGATGACTCTGGTCCTCTTGAGGTTCATCATTCCTCTAGAGGTGTTTTGTCTCCTTCCAAGATGTCTCTACATCTTGAGTCTGATCCCAAACCATGGGAAGAACACATTTCATCCTGAAGCTAGAGTACCCAAACAGTTTTGTTTTAAAGAGAAAACATCATAAAACTAATCACTAAACTACTCCAAAAGGCCATCCACTCAGCAGTTAATATACCTAAAGCTGTATCAGTGACCTCAATAACAGGTGTAGCCAAAAGTCTAGAACAAAATGATCTTTACCATAAAGTCATTGCCAAGCTTGTAGTCTCCGATGCCATAATTGTAAGTCAGTTCTGCAACAAAATGATCATCCTCAGGTCCAAACCCCACCATTGTTTTGCTCCATTTTCCATCATAAGGCCTAGGAAAAGGAAGTAAGTGAATCCAGTGACCGCAGACAAAATTCGCCTCAGGCCTCCCCCAAAGAACTATTGGGACAGCGGGGTGGGCAAGCCCTTTCCAGTCTTAAGTATCCATAAGGATGAGATGACCTCAGCCGCAGCTAGGAGCAGCTGCAGACAGTGCGCATGGGCCCCATCACCGAAGGCCCTGGAGACTGTCTGGCTGGCACTTACCTGAGGAAAAGATTTATTTACCTATTCTCTAAAGTAGGGAACAGAATCCTATCAAGGCAGTCCTCCAAGCTGACCTTAATTTATTTTTTTGTGTATCCATCAACAAGCATGTAATTCCCACTGGGCTTTGGAATTTTCCAGCTTGCCATGGTTACTAAGGGATAGTAGCTCTTAAGAGATACTTGATAAGACATTGTTTCATCCACAGTATAGACTTATTTGTGTTCCTGAAGTTGCCCAATTTATTGCCTCCTCCATTTATGCCACTTTGAGGAACTGCTTTGTGTTCTCCAGGAGTTTTCAGAGCCTGAAGGAGATTTTAAGGAACAAGGTGCCATACCCGTTACAGGCAGCTTTGCAGCCTTCTTCAAATTCCTCGTGCCGCAGAATCTGGTAAGGGAATCAGAATAAATGGTAAAGTTTTACTAGTACTACACACAGCATAGTCAGCACAAACTAAAATAATCAAAACACAGACATTATCCTTTGTAAGCTTTACTTGTAAAACAAACAGAAGGTAGTAAGCTTTATATCTTTCTCAGGCTAGAAGTAGAGGTGAGGAAGATCAGCTTCACACCACGGACCAGGCAACCAGGCACAGTCATTAAATCTACTTAGACTGGGAAGCAGTGCTATATAGCAAAAAAGTGGCCTTCAGCATTAGAAAAAAGTCTGACATGAAATTCTGGCTGTCACCTAGTAGCTGTGTAACCCTGGGACTGTTGCTTCAGATCTGGGTCTCCTAATACGTTGTGAAAATGGATAATTTATTACAGCACAGAACCTAGTACACAGTAGACTCTCAATGTGTCAGTTTCTACTTCCTTTTTTGATTCTTATTACTACTATTCCAGCTCAAGCTCCTATCACTTCTCCCATAGACTAAAAATCATATTTAGAGCTTTTTCCTTTCTCATCCTTGCACCAGAGAGCAAGATGGGTCACCAGGAGCTCTACTGGAGCCAACCAAGAGATGTCAACCAGGATCCTCGTTCTTGCCACATCTGCCCAAGCCCGCATGCACGGTTTGATCTGGAAATACAGCCTCAATATGTGCCACCTGTGTTTCCCTCAGTACGTGAAGGACATAGGTTTCATTAGTTGGACTAAGTTCTGTGAGTGGGCCATTCAAGACACCGACATTACCACAGAATGCTAGCTCTGTGTACATAAAATATTTTAAAAATTCAATTAAAAATCATATTTATTGATCTCCTTCACTAATACCACTGTGGACCAAAAAAAAGGGGGGGGGCTCTATACTAAATCTGACAAGTCCAGTGGCTAAATGTAACCTCACAAGGCGATCTGATCATAAATTTCTAACTGGGCAAGTATGGAGGGTAGTCTTGTTCCAGGCATATACCTTCTTTAAAAAATTTATCTTTGCTTTAAGCAAGCTGTGTCCATTGTTTCTGTGCATCTAGGTTAACACACCTTTAAAATGCCTCTTTTTCAGACCCTTCAGAAGCAGAACCATCCTCAAGAGCACGCACAATCTTGTTAACTATCCTGTAATTCAATCCCCCTTCTTGTTTTCTCCTATCTTCGTGTACTCTTCCTTACATTCCCTCCTTAAATTCTCTGGAGCATTTGAGATCTTCCTTCCCCGCACTGTGTCAGTTTGGCTTAAATAAACTCTTACAATAAAAATTCCCTACAGGTTTGGACGTTTCTTACATCAACACCACCATAAAATCAGGTCTGTAGAGCACAGCTCTGATCACATCACTGCCCTGTTCCAAAATGCAAGACAGCTCCCTATTCACTGTGACACAAAATCTAAATTCCTTAGCACAGAATTCAAGGTACTACCGAGAGTGGTTCCAGCCTATTTGTATTGACATCCTACCGCCTCAACTTTAACTAATGAATCCAAGCTAAAGGCACATAACACTAGGTGCCTTTGGGTGTTTCCCAAACATACCTTATCCTTGCGCTGGCTCTTTAGCTTTTCTGTTACTCCCTCTAAGCGTGGTCTGTGGAAATCCTATCTTTAGACGTCAACTCAAATGCAAAGCATGCATGAATTATTTCTGACCACCCCAGGTTGGAGCTAAGGCTTTCCTTATGTTGTATTTTGATAATGGTAGATAACATTTACACATAAAAGGAGAACTTTGGGTTTTCTTTTTGGCTTATAACCAACAAACATTTATTATGGTTCTGAAGGCTGAAAGTCCAAGAGTATGGGGTGGGGCTGGCAGATCTGAGGTCTGGAGAAGGTTCACTTACTAGTTCATAGGTGGTACTTCCTGAAGTTTTGTGGTTTTCTATCACTTATCAAATTTCTACTTCTGTTACTGTTAGCTATGTACAAATCCAGTCCCTATGCCCATTCCATCCCAGACCAGCTTGAATCAAAGTCATTTTCATCTTTGTTACCAAACCTCAACATAGCATAGTGAAACTAGATAGTATATTTGCTCCCCACGTCTTCTGCACTCTCTATATTAAACTGGACTCCTGCACCTCTGAAGTCCTCGCTCATTAGCAACTCCCCAATAGCTTTCACCTGTTTGTCGCCCAGTGACCTATGCAGAGGCATAGCTGCTCAGGGCTGCAGAGAGGCCCCTTCCGGGTGTAACACGGGAGACTGTGTTCCGACTTCACACCTAGATCTGGACTGCTGAGAGGAGAGTCGCAGCATTCGCCCAGAGAGGCTGAGTATCCTAGAGACTATTAAAACCATCCCTGAGAGAAATAGAGCTCTGAAATATGCTGATCATCGAGACCGAAAGGCTCCAAACCCAAAGAGGCTGAGTTATTGTTCGCTGGAATTTTTGTTTAGTTACTGGCTTTCCCTTGAGACTGGAGCCTCCACAATGGCAGGAGCTCAATATACAATTTCTATTTGTGAATGAATTTAAGTGAAAGGACGTGTATGAGCACATAGTCGGCGACTAATAAGCCTGCGTTCCCTTTTAAAGCCCATCTAACCCAACCAGGACTCGAAACTCTTCCTGAGGCTGAAAACGGACAGAGTTAATGGGAAGTTCCGGGACTGAAGTCGGACACCTGGGTTCCGGCTGAAACTCAGACTTGTCCTCTCTCCGCCGGGTCTGGCTCAGCCACCCGCGCCACCCTCGCGCCCCCGTCCCTGGGCCCCGCCCACCTGCATCCCTAGGACATCACGATAAAAACGCGCCGTCTGGAAACGGTTTCCCACTTTAAACACGAAGTGCAGTGCTCGGCGAGTCGCCATGACCACCAGCGCCTAGCCACAGTCGCGCACCCAGCGTCGCACCGCCCACAGATCGACCTACACAGCCCAGTGACGTCATTAGTCGCCGCCGGCTCACTTTCGTGACGCGACCCACGGCGAGGGGGAAGATGGCTATCCTAGTGAAGGGCGTGCGGTGGTCCACGCGACCATTGCTGCCGGTGGTCCAGTCTTGGGACTTGGACCCCCGGCGCTGGGTCCGGGCGCTGCGGCGGAGCCCGGTAAAAGTGTTGTTTCCATCCGGACCGGCGGCGGAGCGGAAGCCTGGCTCCCGGCAGCAGCCCCTGAAGGCGGCGGCCGAGGGCAGCCCCCACGCGCCGCGAGTGCAGCGGCCGCCTCCGGCGCCCCTGTCTCAGAAGCCCAGCACTTGGGAAGAGTCCGGGCTTCGCTACGATAAGGCTTTACCTGGGGACAGAAGGCTGAGGTGATGTGTTCCCAAAGCTTGTGGGGCAGCCCTGTTTCTCTGCCCACCTCGCCGCGGGACCTTAATCTCTGGACTTAACTCCGGTGCCACCCGCTGGTTTTTGTTATGCCGGGGCGGGTGCAGAATAAGTATCTCTCGGAATTAAGTTTGTTTCTGTCTCTGTGTCTGTTGGAACTAGGTGTGTCTCCGTATCCGGGATGTTTGGTAACGACTAGTCTGTTTCCACCCACAGCACTGTAATGACCATAGTTAAGTCCAGGCCGTTTCGGGAAAAGCAGGGGAAGATCCTGCTGGAAGGTCGCAGGCTGATTGCAGACGCTCTCAAGGCTGGTGCTGTGCCCAAAGTTTTCTTCTTTAGCCGCGTGGAGTACCTAAAGGAGCTGCCCATTGACAAGCTGAAAGGGGTCAGCCTCATTAAGGTGAAATTTGAGGATATCAAGGATTGGTCCGACCTAGTAACACCACAAGGAATAATGGGTCAGTGGTCATAGTGTGTCATGGAAGTAGACACCTGGGGTTATTGGTTATTACGTGTCTTAGGGTAACAGATTTTATTTAAACCAAGTTCAAAATGTTACTGCCTAACGTTTTCTTAAGATATCCAGAAAAATACAGTCATCAAATCTTATACAAATCATGCATCTTGCAGTATTTTTTAATGGAAACTGAAGCCAGTGTTTCATCATCATTTTTATTCTGGCTCTTTATTCCTCACACATTTTTTTTAGGTCACTTCTTCAACCTTTTTAATGTCCAACTAAAAATTAAGAAAATGTTTATCAAAATATTTAGCCATCCATTTCCTCAAAACCTCTGACAGTGGGGTGATTCCTATGATTGACTCCCCTTCTCTGGAAGCAAATCTAAGCAGTCAGCTGCAATTCATTGGCCTGGTTAGCCCATTGAACAGGAAACCTTGTCTTCATTTGGTTGTATTTAACCAGGCTTATGTAACTGTGATGTCTGTTAGCACTTAGAAAGCTTTTTCTAAATATGGAAAGACTAAATTCTTTATACCTTTTTGACATTGTAACTGAATGGCAGTACATGTAGAGGTTCCCCTTAGATAGTAAGCAACAGTTATCTTCAGGCGGAGCTATCTTCAAGATTCTGATGTTCAGTCCGGGCCCATCCTACCTGTGTAGCTGTGTATTCCCTGTGCTGGTGGGCTTGCTGTGCTGTTATTAGTTGGGAGAGAAAATTCTGGGGACTGTCTTGTTTCTGCAACCCAGCAAGTCACAAGAACCGGTGCCTGTGTACTCAGAACTCTCCCTAGGAGGAAAGGACTTGGACTACTAAAGTTTCCCACCCACTCTGAGTAACTCTCCTCTTACTAGCTATCCCTGATCACTATTCCATGCTGCAGTGAAGTGTCACTCATTTTTACCATGTTTGCCGCTTTGGGCATGTGCGCTGTGGCCAGTCCATCCTGGATTTCTGTGGCCTCTTCTTCACTATTATTGTTTTGGTGATTTCAGGGCTTTTAAAAATACATATTATTCAGTGTGTCCTTATGTCTTATTTCAAATTTGAGTAGGGGGGTAAACCTGTCAGACTTCTAAAATCTAGTTATGTAAGTGGGGCCTCTAGAAGTAGTGAGTTCTCATCACTACTATAGTTCAAGTGGACGTTAAAGGATTTCTAGGGTTCCCTGCCCCGCTGAATGCTCTGGCGGCTGTGACTCTTCAGTGGAGGATCTTTTTACAGCACAGATGCCTGCTACCATTCCACTGCCTTCCCTGGTAGGGTAGGTACAGGCATTTGTGTGTTCCTGGTGTGAATGAACTAGAATAACTTGTGGGGACAGCAGTTTGGCAGCATCATTAGCATTAATTGTGCACACACACTGTTCATTTCACTCACAGGTGTTTTTCCTGGGGAAATATCTGGACGTATGTACAGAGAGAGTCGTTCAGGGTTGTTTATTGCAAGGTTGTTTATAATAGACGAAACTGAAGATGGTCTAAACGTCAGTCGAGGAAGAGTTAAATGTGGCACATTTGTTACACAATAACATGTAGCAGTGAAAAGAATAACGTAGCTCTGAACTCATTGACATGTTAAATTCTCCAAGACATGTGATAGATAAGATTACAGACTAACACAGAGTAAGATTTCTTTTTGTGTAAAAGAATAAAAGCACCTATGTATGGGCGGATGTACATATATGTAGGCAGCTGCTTGGAACAGATCTGAGAGAATAGGATATATTCCAAGATTGATAGCACTTATATGGGGGATTGCTGGTAGGACTTTATGTTTGAAGTCTTCCAATTTGGAATGTATTCACGTGATTAAGAATATAAAAAGTGATGAGTAAAGGAAAAGTCACATTATCACCCATGCCCACATTAGACAAGTATACTCCATTTTGTTTCCTCAGGGATCTTTGCCAAACCCGACCATGTTAAGATGACGTTCCCAGAGACTCGGCTTCACCATGAACTGCCCTTATTGTTGATTTGTGACAATCTCCGTGACCCTGGGAACCTGGGGACGATTCTGAGATCTGCTGCTGGGGCAGGCTGCAGCAAAGTCTTACTCACCAAAGGTAAGGCACACAGGGCTGCGTGGACTGGTGGCCGCTTGTAAGTGAGCTGGCCTTGTGGGCAGACATACATGGGTCCGAACCTTGGATCTGCCCCTTATCAGTTACATGTCTGTGAGCACATTTTGAGTGTCACTTTCCTCATCTGTAAAGTGGGTATAATAACAATCTACCTGGTAGGGTTATTTTAAGGATTAAGTGACCTGATGCACATAAAATACTTAGCATCGTACCTGGCACATAGTAATTCAGTAAATGTTGATTATCTGTTAAAATTAGTTCTACACCTGCTAGGTTATTAAGGAAAGAACTGCATTCAGGAAAAGAAATAGATGCCAGCTTTAACACTTGGTGTCAAGTTTTTGTTTAATAAGCTTAAATTCTCAGATTGCTGGGTGTGGGATGCCTTTCTAACTCTTTGACGTTCTGAATGCTGTGAAAGGAATGATTTCAACAGAGCGCAGTTATGAAATTCTGATGTCTTTCTTAGCCTCGGAAGTCAAACACCCCCCTACACAAATTAGCCTCATTACATTTCTTTTCTGTCTCCTTAGAAATAGGAATTAGTAAGCTTGGTTCTAAACAGACTTGCCTAACAGCTGGGACGAGCCTAAAATGCCTATTACAACTTGGGGGCGGGTGTGCAGGAGGGGATTTTAAAATACTTCAGCGTCATTATGTTGTCCCCTGGAGAAAACCCTAAGCTCCTCATACCCAGTGTCCCCAGCTTCCTTTCAGTTGGTCCCTGCCTGCTTCCCACCACACCCACCCGTCGGTTTTCTCGACACCCTGTACTTACAGTTCTCAGACTGTGGCATTCCTGCCTTTATGGTACTTGGTCCTCCGCTGGGGCCTCTCTCAGACAGGGCCCTCCTGTCCTTCAAGGTCCAGCTCAGTGTCCAGTTCTCTGGGATGTTTGTCCTGATAGTCCTGCTTTGTGCAAGGGTTTTCTGTTACCCTGTTCATGCATCTTCTGTACCATGAGCTCCTTAGGGTTGGAGACTTCAGTGCCCTTCACATTCCCATACAGCGTCTGGCAGAGGTGTATGGGGAGTGTTGAAGGGATGAATAAAACCAGTTTCACACCCAGGAGTTCCTCCTACAGTCCCTTTGCTGGATGTTGGCACAATGGGGGAGGCAGAGGTGCCAGCAATTGTGAAGGCTACAGTAGGATATTTTTTGTTTTAACTCCTGATCACAATTAAGCTGATTTACTCCATAATCCCCTTGTCTGGGAAGGTTTGTATTTTTTTAATTTTTTTATTTTTATTAAATTTTTATTTTAGAGAGAAAGGAAGGAAGGGGGAGAGAGAGAAACATCGATTTGTCGTTCCACTTATTTATGCATTCATTAGTTGCTTCTTGTAGGTGCCCTGACCGGGGATCAACCCCACAACCTTGGTGTATCAGGATGATGCTCTGACCAGCTGAGCTGCCTGGCCAGGGTAGAAGGTTTGTAATCTTAATTGGATCCTCTCTTCTATTTTCTAGGCTGTGTGGATGCCTGGGAGCCCAAAGTGCTGAGGGCGGGAATGGGTGCACATTTCCAGGTGCCCATCATCAACAACCTGGACTGGGAGTTGGTACCCAATTACTTGCCTCCAGAGACTCGTGTCTACGTGGCAGACAACTGTGGCCTTTATGCCCAGGCCCAGATATCTGAGAAAGCCAGTGACCATGGCTGGATGTGTGACCGACAACTCTCGAAGTTGCACAAGTATGAGGAAGAGGAAGAGGAGGTTCTAGAAACTGGAGCCGGTAAAGGCTGGCTCCCTGAACTTGAGGTCCAGAGTTACGACTCGGACTGGGCAGAGGCACCAGCAGCCATAGTGATAGGGGGAGAGACCCACGGCGTGAGCCTGGAGTCCCTGCAGTTGGCCGAGGGCACCGGGGGCAAGCGGTTGCTGATCCCTGTCATGCCGGGTGTGGACAGCCTCAACTCGGCCATGGCCGCCAGCATCCTGCTGTTCGAAGCGAAGAGACAGCTGCGGTTAAGGGCGGACCCTTAAGCAGAGACAGGAGTTGCCACCGAGAAGGGACGTAGAAGTCATCCTTGGTTTGAGGTTGTCTCCAGCTCTTCCTACAGAGTTAGTAATGGTGGCTCCCCAGCAGGTAGGCACAATGCTGTTGGTTACTGGAAAAATAATTTACCTTAAAGGATTTCTGCCTATTTTCAAAGGTCAGAATTCTTCTGAGATCCCCCATCTCCCTGATTTTTTATGTAGCTGTAAAGGCCCCAGGTGATGGCCCTCAGTAGCTAGCTGTTCTTGTGGCTCGGCTGTGCCCGCCTCTGCAGTTGTTTGCTCAGGCCCTGACTTACAGCCACTGTGTGCGTGTGACGCGGTCCCCCCATTTCTGGTGAAGTGGCTGGTAGAAGTGACTCGATCCATCGGGTGGTGGTATGCGTTCTTGGCACCTCTGCAGAGACTTTTTTTTAGGACTCTGTTGAGGAAAGGAGGACAACAGTTTTACCATCTTCAGCTTAACCCTGCATCTGTCGGGAAAGCTGTGCCCCTTTTACTCCCTGAACACTTGGTTAAACGTAGTGAGTGGAGCTACTTACGTTAAGCCTCTCTCCTGCACACAGGAACAGAACTGCTTAGGAAAATGCCAGCATTCCTGGCTGCTGTGACAGGAGGGAGGCTGAGGTTCTGAGGATGTGAACTTGGGACCCTTGGGCCCACAACACTGCAGCAAGACCCTGCTCTTGTGTCAAACCCCCAGGGGACCAGAGCTAGCCAGACCCTCACTTACCAGGGGCCAGCTGGGTGTGGCCTGGAACAGGAGGGCGGATGCAGAGAGTCATCATTGTGCTTTAAGTCACGGTGTGGAGGGCAGGTGGGACTGAAGTAGGAGGCTGACTTCAAGCAGTGTCTGCAGGCACGGAGAATGTGGTTGGAGACGTGGACGACGAAGGACACTGGCGGTAGTGTTTTACCGCATCCCTTCCGTGCAGTGGCTCCTATAGTGGTCAGGGTTCCTCGAGAGCCCTTCTGCTGCTCATTCCAGGGAGGCTTAGCTGCCGGCATGCCTGAGAGGAGCTGTGATCCCCCTTCTCCCGTGGCTGCCCCAGGTCCTGGTTGAACTTCCTCTCAAGAGAACCAAAAGATCCAGCAGACTCATGCCCCAAGTGGCAGGGTGGGGTTGCTTCGGTGTGTTTGAGGAGGGGTTTTGCAGGAACATTCTCTGGTTAGCCTGTGCTCTCCTAGGCTTACAGGTCAGAACTGCTGCTCTGGTGCCCCTCCCCGCCAGTCTGGGGCCCTCTTCTGGGGCCCATGCAAGTGGCCCACAGATTGACTGTCATCTCTTAGAGGGTAGATGAGCTCCTAAAGGCTGGGCCTAGTCTGCCAGCCACACTGCCCGTCATACCAGCAGGCTAAGTCTGGGAGGCAGCCCGGAAAACGACCACTCTTCCGCTGACATTTGGTCTCAGCACCGTGGGAAAGTGCTCCAGAAACAAATCACTGAACAGAAGGTGGTGCTCAGCATGAAACCAGCCCGAAGTTTCTGTCCCTGAGTCACTGTTCCTGCTGATTTTTGTTACAGAATAAAAATCAGTGAAAGAACAACAAACCCTAGACCTTGTCCTTGTTCAGAAAAACAATGCCTATTTTATCCTGGGTGGGAGATGGAAATGAAATTACATTGCATTCACTTTGTGGTCAGTGGCTTACCTAGTACCATGTTTTGGGAGCTTCTTTCATATTTTTGTGGGTGTAATTTAACAAGAGAGGGTGAATTTTCCTTTCTTTACAATGACTTACAGGGGAAGAAGTGGTGAAGGTCTTGTTTGCAGAGTAATATTGGAAAATTGCCATCTTGAATTCTTCTCAATTTTGAGGCCAACATTTGTCTGTCACCATTTCCCCAGGAAATAAAAACTGAGCAGTACCTGATAGGCAAAAGACTGCTTGGCTGATAGGGAGGCTGTCAGGTTGCCCAAGCTGCCCCTTGCCTTTGTGTTTGGGCATAGCTGTAATACGACTTCTGCCACAAGGTGGCAGCCATGCCCCGAAACCATTCCTAACCCTGACTGGAAGGGTGGGGACTTTCTCTGGGTTTTAGTTGAAAAGGACCGAGTGAAGAGTCTCCTTCCACCACGGGGCCTTTGCAACCGTTTGTGCTCAGAGGTGCTGAAGTTGGAGGCTCATCCAGATTGTCACTCATTCTCCAGACAGAATCTGAAGTATGTGAGGACAGTGGAACCAAAAGAAGGAGAAAATGCATACAAATGAGAAATGGTCACAGCCAAAACAAACTAGTGTAACTCTTCCCTCTGAATGGAGCCTCTGAGAAAGCAGCTTTGGGCAAATGCCGATGTCTCCAGTCACACTGGGGACCCACTGCCCAGCCCTTGGCTGGGAGCCTCAGGGCAGGGGGAGCTGAGACTTTTTCTCTTCCCCCAGTCACAGCTGCCGGGATCCCATGCTGAGGCCCCAGCTGGGACTGAGCACTTGCCCCAGGGTCCACGGCAACACCAGATGCCACCACCATCCAAGCTGAGCTGCATCTAGCTCCACTTTTCTCATTCTGCCACCGAAGACTCCAAAGCAGCACGTCACCCAGGGTTCCAGGGCTGGTGCTGAAAATCCCAGCTGCCCCGCAGGGCCCAGGGCTCCCTGCTCGGCCCCCTCCGTCCTCCTGCAGGAGTAGATCTGACCGGCTCAGCTTTTAATTTTTTAGGAAACACTCATTTGGGCACCTTTAAAACTTCAAGATCTTATTTTTGTCAATTAATACTCGGAGGTAATAAGCTGGAAGCCTGAGCTGGGGTGACTGCTCTGGCTGAGTCTCTGAACTAGGTGGCTGTTACGTTGAAGCAGCTGCGACAGCAGCTGGGGCCGATGCTCAAAGGCCAAGTGTGACCGAGAAATCCGAACACATCCCAGATGGTGTCAGTTCTTTTCCTCCTACATTTGTTTGTAGGGGAAAGCCGCTTTTTTCAGTTGACCCCTTCTATGGAGAGGGCCGTCACCAAAACTGCTGCTTCCTCACAGTGCAAGAAGGGAACGAAGTTCTGGGAGGCCACGTGGCTGCAGCAGGGTCTGGCCTCCAAGCGTCCCTTGCACCACACACCGACTGACTGCAAGCCGGCAGAGTGGCTCTCGACTGTTGGGGTGCTCCCCTATCCTCTGATGTCCAGAGATCTACGTTATGGCCCTGGTCCTAAGGTCCCACCCCCTGCTGTATCCTGGGCCATGTGGGTGACTTCCTTGTGTGAGGCACAAGCACTCACAAATCCAGACTTGAAGCTGTCTGTCCCCTTTGGGCTTCCCAATGGCCGCCTGGCCTGGGGACAGAGGCTTCCGTGCCTTGGCACATATTTGATGGAAACTTAACAGTCCCTTAGAACAAGTCCTCAAATTTAGTAACACATTTCCTGGCTTGGGAAGTACTCCAAACACCAAGGGGGTGAGACACATCTTGAAGCATATTTACTTTGTGCTTTCATGTAAGGTGTGTATAGAATATTCTAATGTCCTCCTTTTCCCTGTAGGAGAAACCCTAGCCACAAAGCAGACCCAATATAAATTCTCCTACATACAAGCCTTTTGTTTCCTGGAAAATATTTCACCCTTTGCACATGCACCATTAGCACCAATAATGAAGCTAATAAACAACAGCTATTTGTCCCCGAAGAATTTTCCCTTGAGCAGCCTGCTTGGAGGGAAGCAGGGCATGCTCCTGACCCTGTTGCTATCAGCAAAGAGGGGTGTGGGCTAAGTGCTCCCTTTAACGGAGCTGCTTCAGGGCGAATTTGGAAGCCTAGCCTGGGTCTCTGCCAGTCGGTTCCCAAAGCAGCACGTGGAGAAGAGCTGCAGAGAGCATGGCTGAGCCTCCCTGCAGTCTGTACTGCGGCGGCATCCTGGCCCTGTTGGGCAAGCATGACCTGCCCGGTCCAGGGGAAATGACAGTGGACAGAATGTGTGCATGACCACGGCACATTGCCGGAGGAGCATGGACCGAACACTTGCTCAGGTCTCTCCGAGCACTAACTCAAGTGTACAGTCCTTCCACACGTGCATGCACACACGCGTGGTTTCTCCCTGAGGTGACAGTGCAACAGCTTATTAGATCTGGCGGATCTGTTCCTGGGCCATGTCCTACTATGTCTTTATATCACTGCAGAATTCATTTTGCTGCCCTAGAAAAAAGCAGCAGGAGAGAACAGCTTTTCAGTGTCTTTAATTAGGCAACAGGAAAAAACAAAGTCTGGCTGAAAATTACCACTTGGAGCTTGGCTGATGCCAGAAGAGCAGTACTGGCTTCCCTGCGCCATTAATGTTCAGGACCCACATGGAGGGGAGGCAGAGGAACCTGGTTAACAGCTGCCCTCTGGCATGTGCAGCTTCACATTGTAACACCAATCCCAAACGTACCTTTTATCTTAAGCAGATCTTTATTGTTGGGGACAGGTAAAAAACAATCTCATCTCTGTTGTGAAAACTGGAGAAGCAAATCTGGAAGTCGTTGTGGCGAACACAGACCTGGAGCCCCAGGGTGGCATTTTTACAGCCACCGTCCTGCCTCAGCCTGCAGGGCACCGTTTCCTCGGCTGCTGTCAGAAACCCTCGAGTACCGGCAGCTCCCAGGCAGCTGGCGGGGTAGCCTGCTTCCAATTAGCGACAAGAATTTTAAAGTATTTTGGAGGTGCTTAGTAGAAATTAAGAAGCCACCCACTTCGCCTGCATCCATCGATCACCTTTAAGGTCTCCAGCACTATCAAGACGGACATTTCACTGGCACTGGTGTGCCTCCCCCAGCACTCCCCCCCTAAGTCACCACCATACGAACCTAACACACCTTCCCAGCGAGCCGTCTGGGTGATCTTGACTGACCCTCACATCCGCTCTAACGGGGGCAGCCTCGTGTCGAGCGTCTGGCTGACATCAGAGGCAGACAGTTCAGTCAGCCCTGTATGGGCCACAGAAGGAGCACAGATGAACTACTTTTTCTGTTCCAGTGACTTACGGGGACTCCTCACTGGACTTTGCTCCTTCCACCCCAGAAGTAGCTGCTGTGAGGCCTCCTTTCTACCAAGATAATCATGATACAGGGGACAGACAGCAATCCCGCCCATCTTCCCATCAAGGTGAACCTCTACTTGTCCCCACCCTAGCTAGCCCCCAAGGGAGACACTGGCAGGTTCCCAGAGAAGCCCCTGGCCCTGAGACAGAGGTGGCTTGAGGGTCTCCAACTCCTGCCCCACTCTTTGCAGGGAGACACAGGCAGGGGCCCTGCGTTGCCCCACCCACACTTCTCTGACTTCAGAGCACCTGCCCCCGCCCCCCGACAGGGAGGGAACGAGCATGCGTGTCCACCAGGATGTCTAATCTGAGAGTCTACCACCTGCAGTGGTGAGTCCGACCAGGAGAGAGGGCAGCCAGAACTTCAGCAGGGACCTGCCTCTGACGCTCTGATCCAAACGAGTTTCTGACCTCTGGAGGATTTCACAGATGGCTGCGGTAGGTCTCAGGGTTCTCGACAATTCTGACACACAGCTACCAGGTATCCAGTGACAATCAAGAGGACCTCCTGTGTCCAATCCCCCACTGCCCACCTCCTAAGAGGGCACAGCACTACGAGCAAGAAGATTTTTGTTATTAAGGACAGTAAAGGCCAAGTGGTTGGTAACGTCCAGAGATGCCTGCTTTATTTACGAGGTGACTGCATTTTCAGGCTGGTGACATCAAGTAACAGTCTGATTACCAAGACCCAAAATTACCAAGGTAATTTTGTACCTCTGACCTACAAATCAACGATCCAGTTCTGGCTGGAGCAAGAATGTTACAGCTAAATGGGGGTGGGGGGGGTGGGGGCTGGGTTTTCCAAATGAAAGGTCTTGGTTGGCTGAGAGTGGAGCCAAGGGTAAGGCCTGGGGTTGCTTTCAAGAACCTGACGCCTCCTGGTGGAGAGAGGCGGACACCTGCATGTCCCCAGGTAAAGCCCTCCTTTCCAACTCCCGAGAACACAGACATGACTCTCCTTTTTGTGCTCAGTTCAACCCAAATAAGGAGCCGAGCTACCAGGCAAAGTGGATCCGAGGCCTCCTCTCCATCAAGGTGTCCTCTGCCCTCCCCTCCACCCCAGGGTACAGCTCTTTCTGCAGGTTCTTAGGAAAAAGCCAGGCTTCTGGTAATTTGTCTCTTTTTCAGTTCTGCTTTGAAAAGAAAAGGGAATGACGAGGATCCAAAGAGGGGCCCAAGCACTCAGCAAGCTCTGGCAGTCCCAGGCCTGGAGCTGGGCCGAGTCAGGTCTGTGCTGGCAAGAGGCAGTGCTCCTTTAAGAACCACGGCCAAGTGCATCTTCTTGGGAAGATGTCCAAGGGGAAGAATTTATTAACAAAATTCTGAGCTAGTAGGGGCTGTTCACATGAGAAGGCAGAAACTTAGAGAAGGTCAAGATCAAGGAAGAAAGAGATAAGGAAGGAATGAGAAGCTCTTATCCCATGGTAGCAGCTCAATCAAAGGAAGCAATTACTCCATGAATCATTGCTGTAGCTATTTCTTTTTTCTCACCAGAAAAGAACACAAACTTCCTTTGAGATCTGAGATCCCCTGCCCGAGAATCAA